GCCTGGCTTGTCTGCTTGTTTGCTTTAAGAAGCCTTGAAAACCAGCATTTTCCAGAATTTTGAAGTGGATCCAAATAATTTTCAATGGGAAAAGTAATTTTTTTACAACTGCTGCAGTGCGGGGACAGAAATCTTATCTCTGATCTGTACAGAAAAGTCTCTAACGCTGCTCTTCCTACCTCCCACTTTACCTTTCCAACAAGAAAGATGGAAAAAGAAGCAAGAGAAAGAGGTAAAAAAAAAAAAGATGACTTTTTTTTCAAACTAAAGAAAACTTTTAAGTCACTGAAAATATTTCAACAGAAATAAATACAAGTTAGCCAACAATCGAGCAACTAATTTTATTTAAAATGAAACACAACTAAGATTTCATATGACAGAAGATACGAAAAATTGGTGAATGTCTCAAATTTTGGGGGGCTTTGCTTTTTTTCCCCCTAATTCAGTGGATACAGTAGATCCTCCCTGAGGGAGAACTGCTACTTAGATGGCATTTGCAGTTGATCTGTGCAATTGATGAGACAGATGTAAAACTACTCTCCTCAAAACTTGCTGCAATTCTGTATGCTTTGGCCAGTGAAACTGTCCTTGCCCTGTGATACCAAGTGCCCTAAGCCCTGTGCTAGCTTTGATTCTCCTTTGAAACTGAGTGTTGAGATAGAAAAGTCCATGTGAAAGAAAGTGTTCCTGGCATCCTCTTGACTGGACATAAATAATATAAAATCATATTTAATTTGAAACTCTGTTGCTCTGAAGGGTGTTTTGCAGAAGTGAAGCCCTTGTGGCTGCTATTAAGAGCTAATTAGGATGGCCACAATCCCAGCCCACTTGCTGGCAAAGCGCTGTGGCACGGCTGGAGAGCACTGCGGAGGCAGAGATCAGGAAGGCACTAGGGAGACCAAGGCACTATAGTCAGCCCTGCTTAATCTGAATTTGTTGGCAAATCGGATTTTTTAAAAAAGGCAAATCTTGTGCTGTTTTAACACTGCTACAAATTGCACGGGTGGTAAAGTACTTCTTCCAGCCAAACAGAGATGCAGTACAGATTAGACAGGACTCACTATGGCTTTGTTGAGCCTCCACTGCTTTCCTCTCTCCCTTTAAAAGTATTTCTGAAAAAACTCAGGTGCTATTTATTAAAAATCTGCTTTCTCTGGGAAATTAGAGGTGTCTAACTTAACTGTCGTGTAAACCTATTAAAGCCAGTGAAGGCCAATAGCAGTGACCAGTGCTTTATGTGGGAGCCACCCCTCGCTGATAACTGTGTCCTGGGCACGTTGCACCAAGGCTGAAAAATGCGGCCATGAGATTCTGCTGTCAGGAAATTTGTTGATGTGGCCCTGGCTTGCAGGAGGGCAAACAAGGGAACAAATGGTGTCACGCATAGGACAGGAAGGATTTAACTTGTTGGGTGGAGATGGGGGGAGCAGGAGGTCTCGGCCTCATGGTCAATATTTTCTCCCCAATGCTACGGCCAAGCAGCAGCGCCTCTGCTCACCTTTTCCCTGACCCAGGGGAGCGGTTCTGACCTTGCATCATAGGAAACTAAAAAAGGCAAGGCCAAAAAAAAAGAGGGTCAAGGACCTGCTGAATGTCTCTGTGCTAAGAAGTCAGCAGTGGGGCAGCAGCAGCAACAAGAGCCTCCCCATGGCCCCCTGTGGGTCCTGGGACACTCATCCCAGGGGACCAAGCGGTCTCCAGTGGCTCTGTGCCTGATCTCTGCTGAGAAAGGCAGCAAGGAAACCCATGGGAAGTAGCTTGCATAATTTTGGATGATTTTGGTAATATTTAGTGTCATGTGAAAAATGTCCCTTAGGATTTAGCCAAAGACCAGCCAGTGATAATGGGCAACCCACTGAACAGTGAAACGGTTGCAATCTCTGGCCATTATCGACTAAGGCTGAATTTAAATAAAGCAGAAAACCTGAAGGAATAACCACAAAATATTCAAGAAACCAAAAGCCAAGTTTGGAAGCTAATCAGTGCTCTCATTGTCCCCATAATAAGCTAAAAAATCCCTCCTTTAAAAAAATCGCTTTTTGAGCTGTTGATGAAAAAATGCTATGTAAACACTAAGTCTGATAGTCAATTTGTATTTAAACATTACTTAGCAATCCAGTGTTACTATAAAACTGTTTAATTCTAAAAATGTCAAGCAACAGAAATAGAACTGCCTGTTTATCAGAGATTTAATAATAAGAATGACAATAAATATTGACCAGATAAAAATCTAATGTGGAAATTCTTGGAATTGATCTACCTACATATAAAAAAAGGGGGCTATTTTTGATTCATTCAATAGGATGCTTCCTGTTTTTAAACAAAGCAATCAAACTCCAATCAAAATAAGCATTATGGCCAAGACTGTTAGCTAATTGTACTTGCAGGAGCTATGCCAATTGCAGCCCTCCAAGAATCCAGTGGTGCCACCAATGTCATTAGTTTTTCATTAGCCCTTGTGAAGTGAGATATTTTTCTTAAACATTTAACTCCCAGAGCCACGTGATTAGCAGATATATTGACTTTTTCTTGTTAATAGCGTATTTGCAGAGGAAAGCTTTCAAATACTATGCTGGTGAATTCAAATTGCTCAAAAAAATCAGAAAGAAATGCCAAAAGTTCACTCAGGTGACATTGTTATTACTTGAATCTGATTAGCTTTAAGCCTCATGGCTGTCAAGGCCTGACTCATTATTTTGAAATGGTAATTCCCTTCTAATCTGTCTGTTCTACATGAAAACACATGGTTACACCTGCCCTCATGGACAAGACATGCACAGAGGAAAAAAAATGTCATCTGTTTGTCTGAGATACATTCACATGCTATGAGGATTTAGCCTTCTTCAGCTGCAAGTGCATAGCTGAACATTAATGGGAAGAACACTTCTGATATAAGGGAGGAACCTAAGTGTACATTCACTTTCAAAATGGACTTATCACAGTTCTATCAACCTCACACTGAAGCTACAGAGGACAAATGTAGGATTCTAACAGCTACAGTTCCTGTGGATGAAATGGTCCACAGAACCCAGAAGGAGTTCTCCAACTTCTCTTGCCTTTCAGTGAGACTTGGGAATGTATGCGTGTATGTCCCTTCAAAAGGTCAAGGTAATATTCCCACTGCAGAGCTCTGCTGTGAGCAAGCAACACTAAGCTATGAAAAATACATAACCACTGGCTATTTGCATTTGAATGAAAATAAAGGTAGACTGAAAAGAAGGATGGAATAAATTCTCAAATCAGTGACATTCTGGACCCTAGATAATGGTGTGGTTATCTTAACTCTAACCTCAACTCAAATGGATTAGCACACTCTAGGAAATGTGTTTGCTGCCCTGTTAATCAAGAGAGTAAACAATACAACCCCGGCTAACCCTCACTGCTCTAGATGAAAGCCCAAATCAACAATGTGCTTATTTTTCTGGAGTTTATGGGAAATCTTGTTCTGTTTTTATTGCTTAGATGTTAGCTGATTGAGTCTGCAGAACTTTGCTCACACGCTAGGCGGCAGTGCCCACCACCACTGCCACCAATACCATCGTACCTGACTCTGCCACATCAGCAATGTTCACCCCTTGCTCTTGTGCCATGAAGCCCAGGACGGAAAAAATTGCGAAGCCAGACACAAAACTGGTACCACTGTTCAGGCATCCCAGCAGCAAACAGTCCCTAAGTCACACATATGTCATGGAGCAAGTTAATTAAAAAAAAAATTAACCCATTGTCCCTACTTTATTTACATAATTTAGCTAAAACACTAAACCCCCTTGGATGGAAACTTGCCTATAGCAGTTGTATTTGTACTTGTTGTAGCTCCCCAGGGAAGTCATTGCTCCCAAGCAGATTGCATATGAGAAGAAGATTTGTGTCCCTGCATCTATCCAGACCTGAAGGGAAAGACGGAAACACTGTTATTACCGGCATCGTTGCATTGCAACACTCAACGCAAACACACAGTTCAAACTATGCAAAATCAACAAAATAATTGCTTCCATT